AGGAGAGAAGAGAGAGGGGGGAGGGGGGAGGGAGAGGGAGAGGAGAGAGGGGAGAGGGAGAGGAGAGAGAGAGGTGGGGCGGAGAGAAAGAGAGATAGCGATGGCGTGAAAAGTTTTTAACCCCGGACATTAGATTCTGTAAGAGTGGAATTCCGGGCCTGAGAGCGTGAGAGAACGCCCGTATGTCATTTCCTCGGTATCCTTGGTGGCGACGACCTTACAAGGACGCGCCAACAGTACCTGGTATTGTCTTTGTTATGATCGGTGTTGTCTTCTTGTTTTTGTTGATATCATTATTATTGTTGTTGCTATATTTCCGTTTACTTGGAATTTGCTGTTACGATATATTGTGGACGTGTTGTTACAATAATTGGTATTTTTGGTATCGCTATTATTTACTTTTTTAAATATATTTATTTTCATTACACACCCTCTCCCTCACTCGCTCGCTCCCTCACGCACGCACGCACAGCCTCCACATCCAGCCCGATCTGTCCTGTCCGTGCACATCGGTCGCGGGGCCGAGCGGCTGGCGGCCACTGGGTCGTGAGGGCGGCAGCCCGTGAGGCGCGTGGGTGCCTGGCCGGGTGGCCGACCTTCCGCCGGGTGGGAGGCGCGCCCATTTCGCGCTCCTGCGGGCGTTTGGCTTGGGCGGGGGTTGGGCGTGTTTGTTTGTTCATTTCCTTTTGTTTTGTGGATTGGTTGATCGCTTTCTGGTGTTGGAGTTTGGTCGCTTTGGTGTCGTTTTTTTATTGTTTGTTTGTACGTTTAGTTATTCGTTTTTATGTTGCTGCTGATTTGGTTGTTATTATTTTGTTGTTGTTGTTACTATCATTATTTTTATTATTGCTGTTGTTTTTGTTATTCCTATTACGGTGATAATTGTTATTGTCGTAGGTGCTGGTGTTGATATTCTAAATATTAGCGTTGTTAGTATTATTATTTCATCATAATTATCACTATTAGCATCCGTATCATTATAGTTATGGTTGTTATTTTTCTTAATGATAATATTATTATTTTTGTTATTTATCATCATCTTCGCCGCCGTCACAGTTATTATTAGTATCGTTATTTTTCCTTATTAGTGTTAATTGTTTTGTAATTATTTTTGTTATTGTGAATGTTGCTATCATCGTCACCTTTACTATTAACGTCATCCTTGTAGTTATTTGTTCATGTATGTATGATCAGTTCATTGGTTTTGTTCATTCGTTTATTTTTACGTAAATGGCCTTTTGTGACGCGTCGGACGAGCAGCGAGCAATCCCGCCGCCGTCGGCGCCGTACGCAACACCATCCTGGGGCTTTTCCTCTCCCTCCGAAAGGCAGAGCGTCCTGGAATCGTGGGGAGTTACCATCATCACCACTATCACCACCACTATCGTCACCATCACTATCGTCATCACCGCCACCATCACCACCACTGTCGTCATCACCATCACCATCACCACTATCGTCATCACCGCCACCATCACCACGTAATAACTTCGTATAGCATACATTATACGAAGTTATACGACCACCACCATCACCATCACCACTAACGTCATCACCGCCACCATCACCACCTCTATCGTCATCACCGCCATCACCACCACTATCGTCATCACCACCACTATCACCACTATCGTCATCACCGCCACCACTATCGTCATCACCACCACTGTCGTCATCACCACCACCATCACCACCACTATCGTCATCACCTCGTATAACTTCGTATAATGTATGCTATACGAAGTTATTACGGTGGGGAGTTACCATCATCACCACTATCACCCCCCCTATCGTCACCATCACTATCGTCATCACCGCCACCATCACCACTATCATCACCGCCACCATCACCACCACTATCGTCATCACTGCCATCACCACCACTATCGTCATCACTGCCATCACCACCACTATCGTCATCACCCCCACCATCACCACCACTATCGTCATCACCGCCACTATCACCACTATTATCATCACCGCCACCATCACCACCACAATCGTCATCACCGCCATCACCACCACTATCGTCATCACCACCACTATCACCACTATTATCATCACCGCCACCATCACCACCACAATCGTCATCACCGCCATCACCACCACTATCGCCATCCCCACCACTATCACCACTATTATCATCACCGCCACCATCACCACCACTGTCATCATCCCCGCCACCATCACCACCACTATCGTCACCACCGCCATCACCACCACTATCGT